CTTTTTTTTTTATTATCAAAATATATTGATTCTCTCAAGGCGACTCATTCTCACGAAATAAATTAGGAGCTAAGGGATTAGACAAGTTTTAAAAATAATCTATTTGAAACCGAAACCTGGATTTTGTTGGTAACATTTGCATGTACATTCGTCTTTTTTTAGATTCAACTTAAAGTTCAGAGACACCCTATATCACGCAGAGGTCGTAGAAGGTATCAACAAAATAAATCATTTCAAATGATCGATAAAAATAAGGAAAGAAAAACTTCAATTTATCTTAATGTTAGGATAATATGTAAACACCTGCCTGACCTCAGACGTTCGTCAACTATTCAGTGACCATCCTGCTTTACACTGCACGTTCCTGCTGAGTTAGGCTTTAGCAACGTATTATTGAGTTGGTAAGAAAGTAATGTTGGTTGCGTAGTTGCTTAGATATGTCAATTTACTGCAGCGGTATTGTTTTATTTAAACGATCATGTGATGTAGACATTTTCTATGACTTCAGAACAATGTTCTATAAGGTTTTTGGTAGGTACTACTTTTAGAAAAAAATTTTCATCTTAACTGAAAATAATAAATACTCTGAGTTTTTAGGCTTCGACAAATTTATGTTTAATAATTTTGAAACGACTGAAGAAGGTAGTACTATTTCTGACAAAAAGTATTCTATCAAACTAACTTAACATCTATTATATGAATCATTTGTAGATTGAGCATAGAAAATATTTTCATTAATAATAAAGAAAAAAGAATAATAATAGTCACCTTCATAGACATTTTTACATAAGTAGGTAAAATATTAATGTAAACTTTTCGATCATAATCTTAAACCTTATTTTGCGAATAATATTGCATATTATTAATTAGGAACAAATGAAGGTTACTAGATCATCTTCTACTGTTAAAAAACTTTTTTCGTCTATAAGTTTTCAGCAACAGTATTATCTAAAACTATTAACAATAATAACTTGTTCAACTGTTATTGCGAAACAAAGCTTTTAATTATGAGTTATTATTATTGAGAAATTAAAAATTGAGAATATTAGTAATTATATAATAGAATAACATTCTATGAAGGGTTAATGAGATATCTAAGATAGCACAAATGTTCATAAATCTATATTAATTGTACTTTTACTTCAAATGGGGATCAAGTATTTTATAAATACAAAATATCACCGTGATAAAATTAATTTATTGTACACAGTGACACGTGAGCCACTTCAAACCGTTTATTTCAGCACGAACTTCATAAAAGTTTCTTTTTCCTTTATAGTTTAATAATATAGTACGCTAGAGGTAGGAATGCATATTTCCGTGATGTAAAATCGACAGTCCGTGCGAACCAACACTGTCGCTCTTATCATCTGTCGATATCTAAAAGTGATTCTAAACACTCTATTATCATATCCAAGCAATGTTAAACATTGTTACATGTTTGAAGGTTTATTCAAGCGGAAGCGTTTGTGAACATATGTTTGTACGGTATCGTGTTCACAGTGTGATTAATCGAACACCGTGATAAAATTTTTCCCAATGATTCAGAACATTTCACAATTAGCTACCACTACTTTTGGATACATTAAAAATTACAAAATTAAACAGAACATATAACTACGCAAATAATTATTCCACTTTATAATCATCCACCCACATTTTTAACAGAATATCGATATTACTTTAAAAAAAATAGTTTATTTATTGGGAATATTTAAATCCATAAGTGTGCTAGATAATTCCATCAGAATTTACTCCAAGGTTAAAATAAATAGAAGATTAAATACTCAACATATCACTATTTCAAAATAATTATCCCAATTTACGACTCTCTATCCTCTCAAGAAATTATAATTATCATTTTTAACTAACCCTGGTATCACAAAAAGAAATTTTGTTAAAACAGAAAAAAATCGTTACTACTGTACATATTCCTACCTTTCCAGTAGTACTTCGAATGTAGGTGTGAGTCCACAACTGGAGCAGAGTTACAAGAACACTTTTCTCGTCGAACAATCGTGAAACGGCGAACCGATCGAGGCCAATTCGTAATCAGGCTCCTGAATTATCGAGACCTCGAATTACCATGTTTTCGGCTTGAGGCTGTGGGTTACGTCCCGCTGTTAAAAGAACCACATTGAGTTTTAATTAAGCGCCGATTTCGTTCCTTTCAGCTTTCGATCGGTCCCCCGCGACGTTAAATAACTAACGATCCTGCGAATAACCCGGCAGATGATCAAAACTGGAGCCAGCCATGCCTAAACCTTGCACAGACTCCTCGAGACACCCCTTTCTCGCGTAGCGAAGTCAAATCGACCGAACATGCTCATTGGACCCTGTAATCGAGACACGAATCTTCCTGTCCCCGCAGGTTAAACGCCCGTCGCAAACGCCGGCAGACCGTTGCCCAGAATTTTTAGACCATCGCCCTCTGACCGGTCATCTAGCTAACCGTAGTTAATTCGATTGCCTTCGATCCCGCCGCCAAATTCTACAGCAGCCCGAACGAACGGCGAGCGGTGCTCGATACGTTTTCATTCTCACGCGACGAGACTCTTTGACACTATCCGATCTTAACCCTTCGAGTGTTGAATACTTCCAGCCAAAACGTACCGTGTGAACGGAATACTTTTTTTGCGCAGTTTGCTGTCTGAAGATCGATAAACTATGTTAACACTAAAACTACCACCATTGAATTATTCACTACTGAGAATAACTGTTTCAATATTAAAATAATTAATTTTTTGTATGTGTTTTCGTGAATTTATGGTTTATAAACATTGTACGGTATAACAAATTTGATAATGAAATTTGAAGGGTTGACAAAATTATAAGGGAGCCAAGTTATCGATTAAAACTTTGAGAAAATCTTTCTGAAGAGTAAACTTTGAATAAAATCGATACTTCTACATGAAAAATACACTAACACACTCTAGATGGAAAGGTATTCTGAAAAGTGACATTAAAAGAGATGCTATAAATTCATATTGATAAATCTAAACCATACATTACGAAATGCAGAATATTCTAGTTCCTATGCATTTATCATTTCCAACTCCAGAATTACAAACACGGAAGCAGTAATTAACCTTTTTAATGTTTTTCCCCTCGGCTATATAAAGCAAGTCTTACTCACTGCATCACTTCCTTGATTTATCCACTAAAATCAGTTACGTTCCCACAAATAACTATAATTTGACGAAACTGTTCTTACTTACTACCTACCGTAATCTATCATTCACTTCCTTGAAATTTATATTCCTTAGCGTTAGAACAAAAATTGAAATAAGATATCAAAAACGTTGAAAGTAACACTCACATTGGTCGTTTATTGTTAACACGTTGGCTGTCACAAGAATTTTTGAGCATTTTGTACAATATTATTTATTCTTTCATAATAAAAGCAGATGGTATTAGAATCAATAATTAACGATTTGATGCCACAGTTCTTAAATTATACTATTATTTAATTACTTATGTTACTAAATATCTTGAGTCAACGTCTGTTTTCATCTTGCAATAACATTCAAATAATTTGGAAACTGTCATCGGTGACCACCATGGCAGCCAACGCATTATCCCTTTCCTTATAATGTCGTACCAAACTCATAGTGAAGATTTCAAACAAAATTTGACAAACATAAATATCACTCAATTCTTTTAAGTTCAAATTACACGTTACCTTCGTTGTATAAATTATTATACTCTGAACTCTACAGCAGGGGTAAATGTAGAATAAACCTAAAATTCTTCTCCCCATTCTCATAAATTATTAATGGTCACAAACACTAACAGTACCGCGAACCAGTCAAATTTTTAAAATTTCATTAAAATCTCTCCAATCAAACTTCATCAACTTCTATATTGCCCGATTAATCAATTTTTTAATGTTTATCTTTCCTTTTATTTCTATTTCAACTAAGAAAAATTTATCTAACTTGTTTACCTTTCTTTTGTAGTCAGTTATTTAACTGGTTAAGATAGAAATATGTACAAAGTACCGGTACGGTTAGTGTCAAGTATCGATCATAGTTGAGAAATAAGTCATAGCGCAATGGGTTAACAAAATATGGTCTACGCTAAGAAGTCACCGTATAAGTCCCAATAATTACGTACAAAGGATTTATAATATTGATATTATTATTACACGGCAAACTCTGAAGTCACCTCGTCAGTATCAACAGCGAGCGGCGAGGCTAAGATCGGCGAAGATAAACACATCGAAACGATGCAAAAAGACGACGGATGCGGCGACCTAAAAGTGCAAATAAGTTAACTGCTAACGGCTGTTAGCCGCTTCTCCGTGCATCCGCGAGATGTATTTGTGGACTCCACCTTAAACTGAGCCACATGACCGTACGCGTATACTTTCTAATTATATAGTATCTAGCCAGCATCAGCTGTGCTCGTTGCCTGACCGAGAAACTTGTGAGGACAGCAAAGAAGGCGGATAGAACCGAGGAAAACGCGGATATCGCGGGGACCAAGGAAAAATTCTGACGCGTTGCTCACCTGATCTTCGCCATAGCGAACAAACATCGAACGCAAACTGTGTTCCAGTTTCGATCGACTGAACTACAGGCATACTTAAATACTGAAAAAGATACAAGTTAATGGATCTCCGTCATCCTTAATTTACAATCGAATAAACGTGTTTAAGTGGAAACTTTCCGTTAATTGCATTTTAATAAAGACGAATACCGAGAAAAAGGAATATTCTCGGTAGCAGTGGTTCTTTGAGGAGGAGGAAGAATTGTAATACACTACGGGAATTGCAAATTAATTAGAAATTAGCAATTTTAATAGTCATCGTGGTAAAAATTGTATCGATATCTTTGAAGGCGTTGCTCGAGTGTTTGCATCTTTCAAACTATATGCCCATGATGTTTCAAAGATTAATCGATCGATTTTATTGATCAGAGGCTTATTTGATCTGTAATCGAATTCTCTATACGATATCCACATAAAGTTCCTATTGTTTTTAGCCCCGTTAGAGTAAAAATAAAACTATTAATTCGATTTTGTTGAAAAACAGGTTCAAATCGCTTTCAAAATAAACGACTTGTTGAACTAGTTAACTGCGTTTGACGAGTGCACGCGTCATCTTAAAACTCTAACTGGTACTAACTTTTTCAATGATGGATTATTTACTTTTCCAGATAAGCATATAGCTCTCGTGCGTTTCACTTTAGCTTTTCGTTAGAATATGTTATAAGTGGATTTGGCCTGCGTTTTAATGTACACTTCATTGCTTGATTTTATTGCGTGCACAATGAGAGACTTTTTAAACTAAATTCCAGAGTTAATAGGTTAACACGTTTACGCCGGCACGTATTATAAATACCACCAGTGGTACACAGTTATTAATTTATAGCATGAAACTAAATCAACGTTAATAAGTAAATTATTTATTACCATCACCCACAAATAGCAACTGAAGTCAGCAAACTAGACACGTAACAAAAGAGTGGAATCCAACATCATTTTTGCAAATATTGTTACTATTACGATCTATAATTAAACATATAGAAACATATAGAAACGGAATTTCAAAAAAATATACATATTAATCATCTGACATTCAGAAAATAAAGAATTTCTAACTAGTCTAACTAAGAATGTACCTATGAACATGGATTTTTTTCATTTCACGTTGACGTTCATTGTTCTCAATAATAATTCAATTTTTCGAGTCATCGTTCGATAACACGTCCCGACGTAAATGTAACTATGGAATTTAGTTTCAAAAATCCCTCGTCGTGCACGCAATAAAGTCAAGCAATGAAGCATATACTCGTCAAACGCAGTGCGAATATACCTGTAATATATTCTAACGAAAAACTAAAGCAAAATGAAGAATAATTACAAGCGTATCCTAAAAAGTAACTAATTCATCGTTGAAAAGACTAGTATCGCAGTTAACTGGTTGAACCCGACATCCTTGGTCAATGTCCAGCAGGAAGTAAGCGGGCAAAGGAATCGAGTAGAACGTCCCGCGAGTTTCGGAACTGCAAAAGAACACAAGTCTTGAAAAGAAAGCGAGCCCCGCACGATGGATAATATCGCGAAAGTTAGTAGAGGCGGGCGTAGTCGGCGATGTTTGTAAAAAGGATGATAGATAGAAGCATGGATTGCGATGCGCCGCTGCCGGCGCGCGCGGTGTTGCGCTGGCTACGCCTGCAGCAGCTTCTGTATGCCGCGCGAGCATCCGATGTACTTTCCTATTTTGCGCGGAGCGGGGACCGGCTGATTTCGATAACGGTACACGCAATTATTCCTTCAACATTGTTGTACGTACGGCCCCGAACTATCCGCGAGGACAGGCAAATTGGGGTCTACGGAATGGACAGTTCGCGAGCATCGCCACCGCTTTTCTCTTTTTAGACCTTCTCGACAGGTTGACCGCCTGCAGGCTGAATTAGTCTGCCTATCGGGAATAGAAAACCGAACATGCTACTTTGGCGCAATGATACCGAATCGTTGCGAATTCGTGGTCCAGTGAAATTTATTCGATTGAAGTAGTAACTGCACCATTTTACTGTAATTGTAGCCTTTTAATTATTAGAATGAACTTAGCCTTTTAACCCCTTTAGTACAACTGTAGCTTTTTAACCTTTTGAGTATAACTTAGCCTTTCAACACTTCGAGTGCTGAAAAAAGCCAGCTGAAACGTTCCGTATGGACGAGATATTTATTACTCATCTGAAAATCAATGAATTGTGTTATTCATACAATTAATTAAGTTGTATTTAAGTTATAATTGTAATTCCTCAGTGTCACCAAATTGAATAATGCTAAGAAACGCGTATATTAATCACGTATACTTATAATTGTCACTACGACAGGTGTGAGATTAAACAGATTGAAAAACGTATAAATGCACCTGTAGCCTAGAGTGATGACTTTCGCTGGATGCATATATGCGCCCACGGCACTGAAAGGGTTAAACCTCATATATATTCATTTGTTACCGTGACTATCGGGTAAAATTAGAATAGTCGTATCATCCCGATTCTTTGAAGATATATTTCTTTATCATTTTGTGCTTTGAACAATAATATTGCGCAGAAGTTGGTAAACAGATATTAGAAATAGAAATCACGAATGCTATTAGAAAAGA